GGTTCAGCCTGGAGCTGTGTGAACGCCAGCCGGGAGCCACCCAGGACCTGCCCCCTCATCTCTGCCTGCCACAGCACCCTGGGGGTGGGAGGCTTTGCGGCCCTCTCCCTGGGGACCCTTGTCCTCACAGCCTTCTCTTTCAGGACAAGTACCTGGCAGACATGGACGAGCTCTTCTCCCAAGTGGATGAGAAGAGGAAGGTGAGTCTGCCCTGCTGCATGTTCCCATCTCTCTCCATCTGAGCTGCTCACTATAAGCCTGCTTTAGTTTGTGGTACCAACTCTGCTGTCTTCCTTCCTTCCCTATCTGAGCCGGTGCCATGTCCCAGCCCCGCGGCACCCCCTTTTTTTTTTGATGCTGGGATTTTTGCTATGTCAGCCTCTCCCAACCCTGTTCTCCTCTCACCCCAGAAGCGGGACATCCCTGACTACCTGTGTGGGAAGATCAGTTTTGAGCTGATGAGAGAGCCCTGCATCACACCCAGCGGGATCACCTACGACAGAAAGGACATTGAGGAACATCTCCAGGTACCACTGGGCTGGGGGTAGCGGGGGTCTTCCCAGGACCTTGCCTTCAGTCCTCTGCCTGTCTCCTGCTTGGGCGTGAAGGCAGCTGCCTGCCCAGCCAAGGCCTCAAAAACCTCCTTGGACTTGGTCCCAGGTACCTGCCTGGGCGGCTCCCTGTGGAGGTGCTGGGGCGGGCAGGAAGGCAGCAGGCGCTGCCAGGCCCTGCCTGAAGTGGAGGCGGCTGTTGGCAGGGGTCTTAACCCACTCTCATCCTACTGGGAGGCACCTTCAGAGAGGGGGGGGCTCTCCGTCCTCCCTGCTCTTTCCTTGCCCTAGCAGGCATGTCGATGCTTGGTTCTTGCTGGACCGGCACAGTGCTACGCCCCAGGGCCGAGGCCGAGCGTGTGGAGTAACTGGTTTGCGGCCATTTCCTCCCTTGCAGCGTGTGGGTCATTTTGATCCGGTGACGCGGAGTCCTCTGACCCAGGACCAGCTGATCCCCAACCTTGCCATGAAGGAGGTGATCGACGCGTTCATCTCAGAGAATGGCTGGGTGGAGGATTACTGAGGGGCCCTTCCTTCGCCGTGGTGGCACAGCCAGCTCTCGCTGGGCTGGCACCATGCCTTACTCACTGTCCAGCTGTTCCCCCTCCACTATGGGTGTCCAGAGACCCAGCGGCAGTGCTGGGCAAGGGTGCGTCGCCATCTCCCCTTTCTGAGGAGCTGCAGTGGCTGGGCAGGCTCAGAGGCTCCCTGGGCTCCCCTCTCCACCAGCTCACTGTCCGTGGCACTTGGATGAAGACCTGTTTGGCGGTTTGGAGAAGCTGGCTCACTGCGGGGGCGTGGAAGGTCTCACCATCTTCATCACCTGGAGAGCAGAGTTCCCCTTGGCTGCGGCAGCTGAAAATCCCCAAAGATTGCATCCTGCTCCAGGGAGGTGCCGTGAGGAGCTCGCCAGGACGAGTGCCTGATGCTGGTCTGGTGCGGTCCTCTCCCTGTGTACGTAGTTGTTTCCTCCTCCTTCCATCTCTGGCATGGCCAGGGGCCTGTCCTCCTCTCTCCTGTAAATAACCACTTGGCGGGGAGGGGAAGACCAGTGTTCCCAGGACTATGGTTCCCTCCAACCAACTGCCTGGGTTAAAATTATTCTTCCTTTTAATGAAATCCCTTTAAAAAACTAAAAGAAAACTACCAACAAATCTGTGGTTGACAGACTCCAGCGTTTCAGTTAGCTGACAGCCTGCCTGGCTTTTGAGCACCCTCTGGAAGTTTGCCAATGTCGATTAAAAAAAAATAAATAAAAATTTAAAAAATTAGCAATAAATGTGGAAAAAGAGCTGGGTTCATTCACAGTGGCAATCTCTGCATGGGACAGGCCCTGTCCTGGCTGGGGAATGGAAGCTGTCCCAGGAGAACAGAGGGTTTGCCTGCCCCCGTGCTGTGACCCATCCTGCCCACACTGTGGTGACGGTGGGGATGTAGCAATACACAAGGAGCCAGAGCAGAACAACTTTAATCCAAAGGAGAGGGAGAAGATGAGTAAAAACCCAGAAATTCTTCAGGCACTTGGTTGTGATATCTGTAGTCGAGTGGGCAGATCTAGTGCTGCTGCCCTTCCCTGGCAGCCACAGGAGCCAGAGCTGCCACCCTGGCATGGTGTCGCTGTGCCTTTGATGATGGTGACGCATCTTCATCCTTCTCGGCTCTACCCGAGGAAGGTGGAGATGAAGACGCTGGTGTCCAGGTTAAGCGTGGCGTGCCACCAGCGGTCGGGGAAGTACAGGACCTGGCGGGAGAGAGCGTGGCGAGGGGCAGGGCCTGTAGCCTCCTGGGGCTGTATTCTGTGCCCTCCCGAGGGGAGCAGAGCCCCTGGGTGATGTGGAGGCCAGGGCTAGACTCACCTCCCCGGGCCGCAGGGTGCACTCCAGTGGGCGCTGGGCTGGCGGCAGCGTGGGATACGTGTGGTGGAGCCACGCCAGCGTCGTCTCGTTGGGGTGGAAGTCGGGTGTTTTATCCGGTGGGTACAAAAACCAGCGCTGGAAGAAACCAAGGAGGGACACCCACCCCTATTTCCCCTCCAGCTCCTTCAGCTCAGCCCTGGTGGAGGGGAGGGGAGGGGCTGCTCCATCAGGGGGTGCCCCTTGGGGCATTCATCCCACCTGCTGGGTCTCAATTCTCACCTTCCTGCCAAAAATCACCTCCGAGAAACCGGGGCCATGCCAGTGGAAGGGAACACCAGAGCCTGAGCCTGCGGTGGGAAGGGGGAGGGTTGGTGCTGGGGAGACCCCCCTCCCATCTCACCCTGCACCCACCGTCTCCACCAGCACCCACCTGCGATCCCAAAGCTGTAGGCAGGGCTGGTGCCTGGGATGCGGAACGGCGGGGGCACGTACTGCTGGAAAAGGGAGCCCCACTCGGTGAAGTTGTTGTCCCCAAAAAAGTAGAGGGTGTC